GCTCTGACCGGTTTTAAAGGGTTAAGGAAATTTATTTTCAGTATCCCAGAAAGTTGATTCTGTTCATAATCTGGAAATAGCATCGCCAGAAAACCCAACGCCAGTTAAGATTTTGGATGATTAAGCAAGCATCTTTGGAATTTTCCAACACCAAAATAATATAGATGAATTTGAAGGATAAACAGTCACTGTACTGTTACTCACAGAGTGGGTTCATTGCCTTGATGGCCTTTGGTGTCGTGACATATTCGCTGCGGCCAAACTGGTTTTCAGCAGCAACTCTAAACGAGTAGGCTGTGCCCTCCATCAGGTATTTCAACATCATACTGCGTTTCTTTGATGTAGAGCAGATAGGGACCCACTGAGTGGAAGCTGTGTCTTTCTTCTCTACCACAAAGTTAGTGAGGCGAGTACCACCGTTATCCTCTGGATCTTTCCAGGACAGGTAGGCAGAGTCACTCCTGACATCAGACACACGCAGGTGCTGGACAGGACCAGGTTTGTCTGAAGAAACATACAAAGAACATCACTAAAGTCTGACCCTTCATTAGGGGAAGACACAAAAATGAAACTGACTTTGTATCACAGGGGTGATGGCTCAGAAAAATAAAATGTGCTTAATCACAGTCACTTTTTCAAAATTAAAAACTACACAGATGATTCACTTAGTTTTAGCTAATAATCCAATTCTACAAATAATTCAGTACTTACCAAGAACCAGCACAGTGCAGGTGACAGTCTTGCTTCCAGCTGGATTCTCCACAGTTAGGGTGTAATCTCCACAGTCACCACGATGGCAGAACCTCATCTCCAGCTTGGTGCCTGCCTGGTTGGTTTCGATATCTGCCCGAGTGGGAACCTCTGCGTCATTCTTCTTCCAGGTGACAGTGGGAAATGGGACGCCTTTGATGCTGGCTATCAGAGCAATATGAGTGCCAGCCATGGCTTTAATTTCTCGGGTCATTCCGGCATCCAGAATCAACTCTGGAGGCTCTGAAAGATGTAGAAGAAGGAAGTGAGAGGATTAATGACTACAAACACTAGAGTACCTCAACACACACATGTAGCACTCTATGATACTGAAATGACAACTCACCAAGTCTGTCCTGTACTCTAATTGGCTCAGTAAGGCTGGCTGGGTTGGACTCCCCAGCAGCGTTGACAGCCATGACTCTGAAGCGGTACAAAACACCATCTTCCAAGTTGATAACCTTAAACTTGGTTTCTTTGCAGGAGTCTGGAGTCTGGTTCACCTGTTGTCCAAATTGACAAAATTCAGTGAAATAAAAAAGAAAAAAAGAAAGAATGAAAGAAAGAAAGAAATAAAAAAGAAAGAAAGAAAGAAAAAGAAAGAAAGAAAGAAAGAAAAAGAAAGAAAGAAAGAAAAAGAAAGAAAAAAGAAAGAAAGAAAAAGAAAGAAAAAAGAAAGAAA